TTTCTATCTTTTTCGTCGCGCTGTGATGACGTCACATACGCGCTTTCGTCGACCGCGCTTTTGTGGAACGCGGTTTTGACGGGTCACGGACAATTCAAAACCCATCGCTTGGTTGTTGTTGTTTTTGTTTTAAAAAATACATTATCATCTCCCGTCTTTCGATAAACAGCAGGTAGTCCTCGACTTACGACCGCCGACGGAGCCCCAAATCCCCGTCGCTAAGAAAAGGCAGCAGTCGGGAGAGTCTCGCCCCATTTCACCCCCTTCCTTAAAGTGAATCGCTGCAGTTCTCGACTTAAGAGTAACCCGGTTGTTAAGCGAATCCGACTTCCCCATCGGCTTTTGCTTGCCAACGATCGCAAAAAGGGGGGGGGTCGCACAACCGTCGTAAATACGAGTCGGTTGCCGAGCGTCTGAATTTTGTTCACGCGACCGTTGGGGGAAGGGGGGGGGGAGAGATGCTAAGTTTGAAAAAAAATGGTCCAAAGCCCCTTTTCTCAGTGCCGCCGTAATGTCGAGTGGTCACTAAACGGACCGTTGTAAGTCGAGGACTACCTGCGCAGGAGGCTTTTTTTCATTGAGTCGAAAGACAGCCTCCATTCCAGCCCAACCATCGGTAACCTGCTGGGGAAGGGTGGGGGGGATTTTGTTTGTGGGTGACACCCCGTTACGGAGCCCCCCTTGCGAAGGGCAGGATTGCTTTAATTAAAATGTAAATAATCGATTCATCCCCCCCCCACCCGTCTAAGAAGAAAAGATGAATGGAAGGAAACAGGCAGGTTGGAGGAGGAGGAGGAGGAGGAGAAGGAAGTCTTTTATAGACGCGTTTCCGCTCACCTCCTCCTCTGTCCTCAGCTCGCTATTTTCAGCTGCGTTAAACGGCTCGTTGCGCAACAGTTGGCTTTGCAAGACGTCTTCGGCGGCAAAATCGGGGTGGTTGACAGACTGGGAGGCACTGCCACAGCACGAGCCTTCGGAATGATTTACCCTGGGAGAAAGGAAGGAAGGGAAAGGAGGAGAGAGAGAGAGAGAGACTCAGATCATCATCGGAGATATACTCCCACTCTCGACAAAACCGCGTCGGGCACAAATTTACCCCATCCGCTCTCTCGCTTCGGCCTCCAAAATTTGAGTTTGAGTTTTGAGTTTTATTATTATTTATAGGCCGCCCTTTTCCCTGAGGGGACTCAGGGCGGCTGACAAAATATAGGGGAGGGGATACAAA